ATGCTGAGCTTCTCACCCACTGTCACTGGAATGAACAATCCAGCTCAGATGGGAACACAGCAATGGCTTTATGGATACCTGTACTCAGGGAATTACCTAAAGGATGACAAAATGAATGGCCTAAGTGGACAAGTACTTAATGCAAAATCTGTGCCTCGGCCAATCAGGCTGGAACTCATTAGGTGGTTTGTAATTAATTTGGTCAGGCTGAAGAGCATCAGGATGAGAGGAAGAGCCCTGTGGTTTATCCTGGACCAAATCCAGTCATGCTTGGTCAGGTTCCTGCACAGATGACTTGGAGTTGGAAGAGGCAGAGCAGCCTCAGCAGTTCCAGGCACCACAGGCATCACCCTCACACACCTGCACTGAGCCCAGGAGGAGCAGGTTCTGCTCCCTTTGTCCAGGTTCAAAGCCTGGGCAGGAGATAACAGCCCATATAACCAGGCAAATCAGAGGGCACTTGAGATATTATAAAAGCAAACACCTCTTTAATAGAAAAAGCAGGAGCAGAACTGGTTCCACAGGAAGTGCTTCGTTTTTCATGGCAGGAAATATCCTTCACACTCCCAAGAGCCATGACCCAGCAGGGGTAGGGATAAACAACTCCAATATGGTCATTTTGCTCTAACCCAGACAGAAATCTGGAGGTTTAGAACCCTCCTCTATTTTCTAGAGGAACCAAGTCACCCTGCAAAGTGATTTCAGGCCAATCAAGAGAGCTGTGCTCCCGGAGCTGCCAGAAAGGAGGAATCCACAGGAGCCTGTGAGCTCCTAAGCACCTGGCCAATGTCCAAGGCTTCCAGGCAGGCTGCCAGGGAGCCAGGAAGTCCAGGCTGCCAAGGAGCCAGCAGGCAAACTGGCTCAAAGCATGCAGACTGCCTGGGCAGCCTGGCTGCCCTGGCCCCGTGTGCCAACCCAGCATCACCTCGTGGCCAGGTCAGAGGACCCACACGAGCCCTCCTGGCACAGCTCTGTGCCCCACTCAGCTGTTTGCTCCACTCCTTCTCCAGGGCCTGCTGAGGACATGCAGGGCACAGGGTGCTAAACCATCCACTCAGGTTTTCTGCTAGAGAGGTAAGGAAGGCTGGGAAAAATCAGTTTAAAAAGCAGCAAACAGTGAGTGTGCCAATGATTAAACTGTGGGATAGACTCCAAGGAGAAGGAGGAATATCAGCAATGAGTGTGTCTTGCATTTGTTATGTCTTTGATAGATGAGGAAATGTTTTCAAAGCAATTATAGACTTAGCAGTTTGGGCTGATACCATTTACTTTGCTAATTATGACTCTGGCAAACAATGTAGTGACCCAATCTGGGCTAAATCCTAAGCTCTACTTGAGTGACAAGTCATGTTTGAAACAGCCACTTGGAGCCAAAAACCCTGAAAGCTGCTGAGCCACTCTGTGCTCAAATAGTTAAACTTTCTTCTCCTTTCCTTCCCAAACTTACCTGCTCAGTCAGAACACATGAACCTGATCAGTCATTTCCTCTTCCCAACACAGGCCTTGGAGTGGGAGAGGGAATCCTGCCTAGCACAGGAAATGCACTTGTATTTTTGGATGCAATGTCTCATTTCTATTCTGGGACACACAGACTGCAACTGGTACTGACAATACTAAAATCAGCCCTCTGCACAATGAGTTGAGTACAAACCAATGAAATCACTTCAAATCAACACTAAATAACAACAATATTAATCACTAATTAGCTGCTGTTGAGGCTATTTGCTTAGAGAGTTAATCCATCTTGAAATCATCACCACTGGGAATATTATGACTGGTCTGGATTGCCAGAATGGCAAATAATGTTTGTTTGGGAGGTTTGAAAACCAAATTCTCCACCTGGCCAAAGTCCCCCAAGCCCAACAAGCACAGCTGAGACTCACTGGGTGTTATTCCCCTAAGCTCTGACTCTTCAGGATGTTCCCAGAACTTAGGTAGTGAAGCCTAGAAAAACCAGCACAGCCTGGAAGGCTCCACAGCATCCCTGACTGCTCAGAGATTTGCTGCAGGGGATGTTCTCTCTCCACAAGAATCCTCAAAATGAAACAATGCCATTCCAAAGGGATGGAGGCAAAGGGATCCTGAAGAACTGCTGTGGTTGTGTAGAATCATAGAACCATAGCATTTAGGGGTTGGAATGGACCTTACAGATCATCCAGCCCCAACCCCCTGCCTTGGGCAGGGACAGCTCCTCACTAGATCAGGTTGCTCAAGTGGCAGGGGTGGGGCCAGCCACAGCCTCCCTGGGCAACCTGTGCCAGTGTCTCACCATCCTCACAGGGAAAACTTTTTCCACACATCCAACCTAAATTTTCCCTCCTTCAGTTTGAACCCATTGTCCCTTGTCCTGTCACTGCAGCTCCTAACACAGCTCCTTGTAGGCCCTTCAGATATGGAAAAGCAGCTCTTAGGTTTCCACACAACCTTCTCTTCTCCAGGCTGAACACCCCCAGCTCCCTCAGCCTTTCCTCATGGCACTTGTGCTCCAGTCCCTTCCCCAGCCTCATTGCTCTTCTCTGGACCTGCTCCAGCACCTCAATGTCCCTCCTGAGCTGAGGGGCCCAGAACTGAGCACAGGATTCCAGGTGTGGCCTCACCAGCGCCGAGTCCACAGGAAGAATCACTAACATAATAACTTCCTACAAGAGCTAAGTGATGCCCTATAAAATTCCAACTTTCTCACTATTTCTGGTACAGATCAAACCTGTTCACAACGACAAGTCAACCACCAGTGCAGAGCAATCACCTCTCAGCCAACACAGTAATATTCCACAACCCAAGTCCCCTCATCCCAGAGCTGTGCCAGCTCCTGGCCCATGTGTCCAACCACCTCAGAGCTATGATCTCACCCTGACTGGCAGTGCTGATGCCCAAGTGAGTCAGATTGGCAGCAAGATTTCCGGTGCTGTTGGAGCTGCTCAGGGCTGGGAATGTGGATTCCTCGGGATCGAGCGGCGTGGGGAGAGGGGAAGGGAAGTGGATATTGGTCAGGTCTGGCAGGGAACCTCCCGTGTTGTGCGTGGCAGGAATCAGGGTGGTAGTGTTCTCCTGGTCAGCTGATGGGAAGATGCTGAAGCAGGGAAAAAGAGGGGGGAAAAAAGAGAGACAAATCCCAGTTTAAATTGCAGCTTGGACTGAGCTTTAGTTGGAAAAGTTACAGATACACAGTGATACATTTCTGACAAAGCAGAGGTGGAACAGCCAAGGGGTCACTCCCTCTCACAGGTTCTTGTAGCTACAGAAAGGTGAGACCATCTAAACCCTTTCCAGAGTACTCCAAAACAAGGACATTCAACTGAAAACTCCCAGAGGGTCTTGTACCTAGAGCAGGGTTAGACCACCCAGAACACTCCAAAGTAAGAGGATATTCAACACACAACTCCCAGAGGTTCTTCTCTTGTATCTAGAACAGGGTTAGACCACCCAGAACACTCCAAAGCAAGAGGACATTCAACTGAAAACTCCCAGAGGTTCTTCTCTTGTACCCAGAGCAGGTTTAGACCACCTAAAGCCTTTCCAGAACACTCCAAAGCAAGAAGATGTTAAACAGGCAACTAACTCCCACAGATTCTTGTACCTAGAGCAGGGTTAGACCACCTAAAGCCTTTCCAGAACACTCCAAAGTAAGAGGATATTCAACAGACAACTCCCAGAGGTTCTTGTCTTATACCTAGAGCAGGGTTAGACCACCCAGAACACTCCAAAGCAAGAGGACATTCAGTACACAACATTCTTTCTTAGAATCTCCATGCTCTTTACAAGAGATCATTCAAAACTTACTTGATTCCTGGAACTTCACATGATTTAGGCCTCGATGACCCAGTCTGGAAAAGAAGAAAGAAAATTTTAAGGCTAGAGATGAATGTTTGGGAGCTATTTCAATTAACCAGTTTAGTTTGAGAGATTCCACACATGAACTCTGTGAAGCTCTGAGAAAATATTTATCACCTCTTGTGCAATTCTCACCTTTTTAGTGTCCCAGCCTTGCTTAGAGAGGGTTTTGTCTGCCTCAGAGGTGGTTTCCTCCATTCCAGGGACAGTCAGTAACAAAACTAAAACAGAACAAAAAGAACTCAGGTAATTCTAATCACTAACCTGAAACATTTTCAGATTGCAAGTTTCACCATTTGAAAAACCTTCAGTGTAGAATCATCAGTGAGTGTGGCCTCCAATTCAGTCTGTCTTTTCCAACCTGGATGAGTCTATGATTCTGTGTACACTCTCTATGTCTAATGGGCAACCAAGAGGCCAATTCCAGAGGGGAACAGTCCCTTCCATCTCCCCTGGGATAGAGCAACACTACAAATCTGTTCCTTCTCCATTCCAAGCACATTGGGCTGTTCCAACTGTTTCACCAAGCCAATGACAAGGTGACAAAGAAACACCAAAAAGAGCCAAGTCAGAGAGATGAATCAACAGAAACCTTTCACACCAACAGCCAGAAATCCCTATTTATGGAATGCTGTTGGAGATGACCTTTATTCAATGTTTTCCAGCTCCAGGAGCATATGGAATAGCTGTGTATGTCCAAGGGTTGTGCTGTGCATTCACAGATCTCTCTGTGCCTATTGAAGGATTAAATGTCCCTACAGACAGTAGTTCAGGAGCTTTCCCTGGAATCATGGAATTGTTAAGGCTGGAAAAGACCTTTAGGATGACAAGCCCAACCATGTTCCCTGTGTGTCCTGAGCTGGCAGCAGCTCGAGGCCCAGCAGAGGGCACCAGAACTGTGGGTGCTGGAGGCTGCTCCAGCCTGGAGCTGGGAATGCTGTCGGTGTTGTTTGGAAGTGTTGCCTCTGCAGGGATGTTCCCTGGGGATCTCAAGCCCATAAATAAAACCTAGATGAAGTCTTGTTCCTTTACAGTCTCGTCCCAGTGACTGAAGTGCTGTGATGTCTACGCTGACCTAGAAGTTACTACAGAACACAAACCTCTAGGAGCACCGAGAGGACTCAACACCTGAGTCCTACCAGCCCAGACTACTCTTCCCCACAGGCCAAAAGGCTTGGGATAACAGAATTTGGGGCTCAGGGAAATGTTCTCTGTTAGTTTCTATCATCTCTTCTGGATTTCAGCACCCAGAAGGATAACTGTGATCCTTCACTCCTGTTCCTGTGTCCATGGATCCACAGCACACCTGGATCCCAGAGATAGCTAACCCCAACCCGTGTGCAAAGCTTTGATGTTATCCCTATTTTAACCCATTTTTCTCTGCTTACCTCTCTTTTGCTGCATGTCCTCTCTGTTAGTTTCTATCATCTCTTCTGGATTTCAGCACCCAGAAGGATAACTGTGATCCTTCACTCCTGTTCCTGTGTCCATGGATCCACAGCACACCTGGATCCCAGAGATAGCTAACCCCAACCCGTGTGCAAAGCTTTGATGTTATCCCTATTTTAACCCATTTTTCTCTGCTTACCTCTCTTTTGCTGCATGTCCTGTGACCCTGAAGGATTCCTTTTTCCTGCTGGGTTGGAGCCATGGTACTCTGGTGCAAGGCAGAGTCAGAATTTGTCCTGAAGGAAAGCAAAAAGCGCAACATTTTTATTGTCAGCTCCTCTAAATAAAAGAATGTTTAATCCCAGATAAATCCAAAACCTGAATAAACCCCCAAACATCTCTAGATGGCATAAACCAGGCACAATTTCCCTGTGAAACAATCCATTTGTAGAAGAAATTAGTTCCAAGTTTGCAGAGCAATTGTCTCAATAATGGGATTGTGAGGAAAACAGCAGAAATTGATGCCCTTGTTAGCAAAGGATTTTCTATGCTCTGTTAAGATTAAGTATGATCAAATAAAACCATTTTTAAGCTGTTTGTCCACCCTTTGCTTACAGTAGTGTGTGGAAAACAAACAGCTCTGTTTGGGAGGGAAATGCCTGGTTTGGGATGCAAAGGTGATGTGGAGATGAGAATCTCCATGGCCAACACATGTCTCATGCTGAACCATCACCTGTGAATGGAAACTCAACACTTCTGGGCTCTGCCTTGGAACATCTGGCAAGATTTACCTTGAGAAAGATCAAAGCAGCTGACACACCTTAATTGGCAAACAGTTCATGAACCAAGAGAGGGAAAAATCAACTTCTGAACTGAGCAAGGCAATTCCCATGGCTGTGGGGAATGCTAAAGGGCCTTTAGCAGAGAACAGTCCCAACACACACACACACTGGTGCTACCAACCTTCTCCAGCTCGTGTCTGAGGGAGGGGACAGGTACACTGTGCCATAGGGACAGCTGTCCACGTGATGCCATCAGTTAAGGGGAAGAACATCACTTGCTCATTTAAGCTCGAGGCCTGTTGGAAGTTTTTTTCCTAAGGAATAATTCAGATTACCCTGACAGAAGCACTGAGTTCCCAGAAGAAGAGCAAGCAAGAGTCCCTGTGGGGAACACTGGCTGGAAAAGGACACTCAAAGCAAAATGATGCTTTGATTGTTGTATTTTCTGAGCAAGACAACAAGCAAACTCTTTCTCTGAGGCTCTAACTCCTCCCTGAGCAGCCACTGTCCCCCCAGTTCCCCTTCACACAGCCCCACCAAGGGATCTGACTGAGCTACATTTGAAGCCTGTCAGAAATAACCAACTAATTCCTGGTCAAAAATGGCAAGAAGGAACATCACTTGGCAAATGCCAAATGGATGAATCAACCTGGAATAAAATGCACATTGAGCTGCAGAGAATTATCCCAGTTTGGATTTACTCAGCTCTCAAGGGAAACTTGGGTTTCCCAAGTGGGTTGGGTTGGAACTAGATGATCCATGTCCTTATGCTGAGGGTCCCAGAGCTGGAAAAGTGGCTGATGGGGCACTTAATCCCACGGTCCCTGTCACCAACACAGACATTAAACACCCTAAACGTGACCCTGAGGGACACCACTTGTTCCTGGGCTCCACTTGGACCTTGTGCTGTTGACCACAACTCTTGGAGTGAGGCCATCCAGGCAAATCCTTATCTACAGAGAGGTCCATCCATCAAATCCATGGCTCTCCAGGTATTGTGTGGGACATAAATCTGTGGCTCTCCAGGTATTGTGTGGGACAGCACCAACTGCTTTGCAGGCAGATGATGCCACTAACCCATCACAGAAGGTCACCAAACTGATCAGGCAAGACTTGCCCTCAGCAAAGCCCAGTTGGCTGTCACCAATCCACCAAAGGATCCCAATCCCTCTCAGCTCCATGTGCACCATTATCCCCACTTAGAGCTGAGGAAACAGGGAAAGGGAAAAGCTTATTTACAGAGCTATGGGCTAGCTCACAGCTCAGGGTGGCAGGGACTGAGATGGGAAGTGACTCCCAGTCAGGACAGGAGGAAGAGGGAGCTGTAAAACCTGACAGCAGGATTTTGCTGGCACTCCTGCCCCAAAGGATATCTGTCTGCCATGTTTATCCACGGAGAGAGGCCGTCGGTGAGGGGAGCCCAGGCGGTTCCTGTCCCGGTACACTCTGTCCACCAGCCCATGGTGCCGAGTTGTCCTGCTCGTGTCCAGGCCAGAGGACTGGAAAGGAGTCTGAGAGAGACACAGGAGGTTACAAACAGCACAATACACACACACACACTCTGCCCAGAACCTACTCACACTGTATGCAAGGCTGTGTGACTCTAAGGGATGAAACTCCAATAAGATGTGGACAAGTGTGATCTTATCGTGGCCATTTGGCCTCCAACAACAGCCACGGAAGCAATGGCCAAGGCTGTGTCTTCCAGAGGGGAGACAGACCATGCTGGACCTTCCCTCTCCTCCAGCAGCACTGCCCTCCAACCTTTGTGTGTCTACCAGACCAGGTGTGAGTGGTGCCAGCTGCTGCCCACATGCCCTTGGTGTAGCATGCAGCATGCATCCAGGAGGAACATGCTGACAACCAGAGCTTCAACTCCAAGGGCAGGAGATGCAGGGAGGAGATGCACAGTGAGCCTAACATTCCCCAGAACACACTGCTTTCTCTCAACACTTCCTTTCACCCCAGTTATGTTAAGGGGACACTGAGAGAATGAAAAGAAAAGCAGTTTCCTTCCTCCTCTGTCTAGAAAAAGTTCTCTGCGAGTGACTTTCAGCTCCTGGAGTGAATTGAGTTGGGATGATCCCACCTGGACTCTTAGCAGTGCTGAGTTCCTCAGTGTTTACTTGTCAGCACAGCATTTCAGGGAGTGAGGATGGCAGAGAAAGGACAGGGAAGATGAATTCCCAGGCTAAACTGGAAAACTTGGACACACTCAAGTGTATACCTGGGGGGAGACAAAGGAAATACCAAAGGGTCAACCTCTACTCATACTCCACCAGCAATATATGGGTCTCTGGGGGGGAAAAAAAAACACCTCCACAGTCTTGCACTCCTTGCCAATGTGAACAGCTTTGCTGAGTCCCTCAACACCATCTGTTTGGGAATCCAAAATTTCCTCCTCCATTCAGGTGCTGCACGTGGCAAATGCACTGTCCTGGCTGCCAAGCCATGAAACCATCTGGCTCCCACATTCAGCTCCTTTGTTTTGCTTTCTGCAAGTGTCAGCTTTGGCTCTTGGAAAGATTACTTCTCCAAAGCTTTACATTTATTTTTGCAAAGCTTTTGTTTGGAAGAACTTTTTTTTTTTTTTTTTTGTGAAGAGTCTTTCTACTATTTTTCAACTCTTTGCTCTTGAGCAAACCTGAAGTCTCCTCACCCTCTCTGCACACACAGCCTGTGTGGGTAGAAATGGATGCAGAGTGGCTCTGGTGTTTATTTTCTCATTCCAGGGCCAACACTTTCTATGCAGCAGAATCTTTAAGTCAACACGGGGCTAGAAAGGAGCTCAGTGACTTTTTACTGCACTCTCAGCCCTTAAGCTCAGGGTGTTTTGCTTCACTTCCTTACTTGTATCACCTTCTTGCTGGAACCCTGAGAAATCTTCTCTAGACTCTCAATTTGAAGCACTTGAAATTCAAACGTGGTTGATTTAATCTCTGCTGCAAACACTAAACAACAATCCAGCTCTGGCCCCACACAGAACTGGGAATATTCAGCATTCCAACACAACGAAAGGTCTCCAACTCTTCCTTGCACTGCTGTTCCAGCCCAAAAGGCAGTGAAATTTGCACATACGTGCTTGGAAGGTCAACAGGAAAAGCAATTTCCTAGGGCAGTGGTGTCACCACAGTGCTGCTAAAAAAAGGAGCAGCCAGCCTGGAGCACAGGAATACAGAGCTCACCTGGATTTAAGGGAAGTATAGGAGCACAGAGACAAAATTTGGACAGAAAACTAGTCATTTTGTAGGGATTTTTTCCATTCTTTCCTTATTAAAATTGTAACAAAACTCATTTGAGTGCAGCAGTGGCATAAATAAACATGGAGCATGTCCCAGCACGGGGCTACAGTTTGGAGAGAGAGGAATTTTAGGGCAATGCTGTTCTCTGGCTTTTCAGGAACAAAGATTCCAAGTTAATCCTTAAATTAGGGAAGCAGAAAACACTGGAGAAAGTGGGTGTCACCTCCAGTTGCTCTCAGCAACCATCCCAGGAAACTGATCTGGGGCCAAACACCAACATGCCTGGAGTAAAATCCCAATCCCTGCAGGGATATTTAACTACAGAGAAAAAAAAGTGGATTAAAATAAGAGATCTGAGCATGGATTTTATTGGGAAAAATGAAGAACTAGAAGTGTTTCCCTCCCCTGAAAACAGGTTGGACTTGATGAGCTTAGAGGTCTCTTCCAACCTTGGTGATCCTATGGAAAAACATCCAAGGGTTTGAGATTAGAACCAAAATGCCACAAACCCCTGAAAAAGCAGCTGGACACAGACAGGAAGGAAAAAGCTCAGTGCTCTAAGCAACAGTGTCCCTTTAAGATGCCTCACGACTTAGGAAAGCAACCCAAGTGAGGTGGATGAGGGGAAGGAGGTTTGTACCTCCTGACAGGTCCCATTTTGGTGCCTCCTGGGGCCAAGCAACGTTTGGGACCTCATTCTGCCCTTCCCCGTGGAGTTAACATGCAGGCTGAGTGCACATGCTCAGAGATTGCTTCACCCACAGGCCAAGACAGTGCCAAATCCTCCACTGTCTGCACCAGAACTCAAAGAGGTCATCACATGACAGCAAGTCCAGGGAAGCTGGACAGAAATTCTTAGGCATGTTCCAAACTGGGATGCATGGCAGGACCTGTATTTATGTGACAGCCCATGGCTCCAGAGGAGCTGGGAGGTGAATCAGATAAATACTGTGCATACCAGAGGTGGTGTAACATGTGCTAAAATACGTATCCACCTGGGCAAAGAGGACACCAAGTCCCAAATACGTATTTGCACAAACCTAAGTACTTGTTTACCAAAGAGACAGGAACTGCTCCAAAGGCTTCTGCCAGAGCTCCGTTGTGCTGTAAATGCAAAGAACCAAAGATGCTCAGACACCAACACTCTCAGCAGACACAACCAGACAGTGCTTCGCCTCAGAGTCTTCCATTTCATCCTGGTCTTAGCTTAAAATTGAAAGAACCTGGAAAGCATTGGGCACTGACACAAACACATGGGGTTATTTTGTTGCTTGTCACTGGAACAACATCAACTTGGGGGTTTTGTGTTGTGAAAATAGAGAAGAACTCAGAGTTTAAGGGCAGTTTGTTTGGTAGCCTCTTCCAGTCATTCCTAAATCTCTGGCTATTCACTTGGAGGCACTTTCAGGAGTCAAATAGGTTAGTTATATCCACCAGGAATGGCCATTAAGCACCGAAATGCTATTGCTGAGAAGGAACTCTGAGACTTCTAAGAGGCTGAAGAGAAATTCTTGAAGAGAGCAGATGAGGAGTAACACTGAGGACTTCACAGCACTATCAACCTCTGCTCTGAGGACTTCACTACCAACCTCTACACTCAGAACTTCACAATCAACCTCAGCACTGAGAACTTCACAATCAACCTCTGCACTGAGAACTTCACTACCAACCTCTGCACTACATTCCCTCAAAACAACCAGATTAAAATAGACCTTTCCTTCTCCTCTTGCACAAGATTTAAGCTCTTAATCTGCACCAGTTCAGCTCTCCCTACACCTCTTTCTCCAGGCAGAGGAGGTCAGCAACAGCTGCTCCATGTTTATTAACCCAGAAAACCACAAACTGCAACATTTCCTTCTCACCACATCCTGCTGAGATAAATGGAACTGTTGCTGCTCATGAAAGGAAAACTAAGGCAGAAATGTTCATGATTTTCAGCATCCTAAATCAACTAATTGTGGAAATCAGGAGTCCCCAGACAATCCAGCACCTGATCCTGTGTGCAGCATCTTCTGTCCAAACTTGCCTCAAACAGCAAAACATCCACCTCAAACCCTGATTTTCTGGTCATGGTGCATCATCTCTGGAGTCACTAAACCAGCCACCACATCCCTGCAGCTCCTTTCCAGCCAGCAAAGTGACTGTTCTGACACTATTTTGTGTCCCATTCCCTTCTCCTCTCCCAAAATCTCTCCCACAGAGCTCCATGGGGTACCTTCCTCCACACCCATCTCCCAACACTTCCCATATCACCTCATTTGCTTCCCTTTTGCTGTGGATTTACAGGATCTCCACAGATTTCACGAGGAATTTGGCACTGAACACACAAAACTCCAACCCCACCAGCACAAATCTCCCCTGACAGAGGAACTGCATCACTCTGAGTATTCCTGACCCAAAAAGCCTCACAACCAGGGACAGGAGAACCAATACCTAATCCTGGATATACCACACAAAGATTTCCACACATCCCAGTTCCATTCCAAATGAGCAAAGGACCTGAAACCAGGGAGATGTGCTGAGGCCATAGCTCTGTGTCCTGCACCAGCAGTTGCCTCAGGGGCTCCTGTGAGGACAAACCATCATCCAGGCATGGAATTCACCCCCAAACCCAAAGGAACATCCTTTGGACTCACCTGGAAGGGGAGATCCATGGCACTGTTCCCAATCTGGTTCACATTTGGCAGTGACCCACCATAGTACTGGCCACGACTCTGTCCCAGTTGCAAGTATTGGGTTTTCTGCAGCTGTAGCTGAAAGAAAAGGAAGAGGAAAGTGTAAAGACAACTTGATTTGGTTTTTAACTCTTTTAACTAACTCCATTTTACACCAAGTGATCACAGAGAATGGAAACCACCTATCAAGGGCATGGATCCAACCTGGGTGAGGGAATAGTGACCTTCTCCTCAAGTGTTCTAGTTTCTTGCACCAGGGAGAGGCTGGAAAGGGCAGAGAGAGGTTTGCAAGGGCAGACACAGGTTTCAAAGAAAACCTCATAACCAAAGAAAACCAAACCACCCAAAAGTCCTGAGTGGACAGATAAATATGAAGAGGAAGGTGATGCTCTGCAAAGTGTCACCACTGGCAGGGGAAAACATTTCTCCTCACATCCAACCTGACTCTGCCCTGGCTCAGCTCAAGGCCATTCCCTCTAGTCCTTTCTCTGCAGCCTTGGCAGGAGAGACATCCCCCACCTCTCTCCAACCCTGTCAGGGAGCTGGAGAGAGCCAGGAGGTCACCCCTGAGTCTCTTCTCCAGCCTGAACAACCCCAACTCCCTCAGGCTGTTCTCGCACAACATGTTTTCTAGACAAAACACACCTAGACACCAAAGCTCTGTTTTATTTGACACCAATCAAATCGAATTTGCAACCACCTGAACCCAACTCCTCTCCATCTCCCAAGGACTCATGAAACTACACTTCAAGCAGCAAGGGAAGGAGCTTACATAAGTTCCCTCTCCTCCCACTGTGGAGGAGTGTGTGTTTCATACCGTGTTGTTCCTCACTCGATGTCAACTGGCTGCTGCTGCTCTCTGCAATGCAAGGAAGCTCTTAGATGGGTGGCAAGGAATTGTTTCAAGCCTAAATGTTCAGCTCTTGGCCTAGAGGCAGGTTGGTTGCTAAGGTACTGCTGTGTGTACATCAACAAAGCTGCTGGAGTTTCATTCAAACACATCCGAGAGCCTTTGCCTTGCCATGTTGGAATTTTGAGGAGCAAAGTTTGAAGAAGCACTAGAAGATGTGACATGGCCCAAACTGGATGGTTATGGGGGGTTTTGTTTACACTTGCTCTGGGCAACCTGTGCCAGTGCCTCAGCACCTCCCAGGGAAGAGTATTATATTCAAAGAGTCCTTACTAGAGCAGGAGAAACGAAGCTCACCCTGAGGACAACAGCTCACACATTTCTCTGATGATCTAACTATTCCCCACAAAACCCAAATACTCTTTATTCACATAATTCTCCCTAGAAACCATCAATTTCCAACTACACAGACACCTAAAATCTTTATGCTTCAGCTGAGGGACCAAATTCATCCCTAACTTAGAAGATGAAACCTCTCCATGGACCACAGAATCATTTCAGTTGGAAAAGAGTTCCAAGATCATCAAGTCCAACCTTTGCCCACTCACAAAAATCATCAACTACTTGGGCAAGAAAGTGCCTGACAGGTTTCTTTTTCCTTACTAAATGGACAGATAATCCCTCAGCCTGCAGCCTGATAAAATATTCCCAGTGTGCCCTATCATATAGCTCCTCAAGATCCCATTCTCAGAGGCAGGAAAGGCTCTCCCTGCTCGACTTGTGCAATCTTCTGCCACACGATTCCAAGCCAGAGCTCTCGAAACAAGACATGAAATTAGAGAAACACTGTGCTGGTATCACTTAATGAGTCACAGCCCCTCCAACTCGGAGCTGCAGAGCACGAAAAGCACAATATCAGAACTAGCTGTGCTTTTTCCCTGGCCCTACATATGTTTTTGTTGTTAAAAAAAAAAAAAAAAAAAGGCTTGTTTTGGGATTTGGGCCAAACATTGAAGTAACTGTTTCAACAGGTGTTGGTTTCCTTTAAAGAACTCACTCTAAGGCACCCAGGGAGGAGGGGGTGGCTTGATGTTGTTGTAATATTTTGGCTTTCCTCAGGATATACCTACCTCAAAGCAGCACGGAACGGGGAGGTCATGACCATTTGTCTTTGTGCTGCACTTCAAGATGGAAATGAGGCGACACAAGAGGTGGAGGAGAACTGCATGGAGCTCTACCATTCCTTTTAGGAACTCTCCTTCCATAAACACTGCGGGAGATGTGTGCCAAAAATAAGAGAACTGATTGCTGCTTATTGCTCCCATCCATCATGACACCAGTGTGGAGATCTGGGTTTGCTCCTCTCCTCACCTCCTGCCTCGCAGGAGCGAGTGGCCCCCAGACTCCAGTGTTTATTGGAGCCCATCAACAACTGCCACTTGCAATCTGTGCAGAGCAAGTGTAAGCAGAACAGGTCAAGGAGCTCAGTGACTCCAATCTCCTTCAGCTTCGGAGCTGGGGAAAAAAAAAAATTGCATTTTTAAATCTTATAACCTTCCTGTCATTCCAGCAGGAAATCTCAAGGAAAATTACCTCAAGTTTTTCTTTCTCAGCAGAAAAAAAAAAAAAAGAAAAAGAAAAAGCTGTGAATTTTGCTGTTGTGCTTTGAGGAACCTCAGGAGCATTGAGTGTGCCTGAGGGGATTTGTGTACAGAGAAAAGCAGTGCTGAAAATCAGGGAATCACAGACTGGATTGGGTTGGAAGAACCTGAAGGATCATCCAGTGCTGTGGGCAGGGACAACTTCCACCAGCCCAGGGTGCTCCAAGCCCCATCCTGGAACACTCCCAGGGATGGAGCAGCCAGAGCTGCTCTGGGAAATCCATTCCAGCCCCTCAGCACCTCACAGGGAGGAATTCCTTCC